TTTTCAGTCATCGTAATATTATTTTGGAAGTGAGGTCGAATAATTATCAATACTATACTTGCAAGGTTTTGTGTATTTTGCATAGCTGTATTAAATTACGACTCACGTGATATTCTACAAACTACAATGAAGGATTAATAAAAAAATTAAATTAAAACCGATTGTTATAAGTGTTTTACAATGGATTTGTGGTAATTGTTTTCAGCGTACACATTTTCATTTGGAAAACTGTGAATTACATATTTTATGAACCTGGTAAAATTGGAAACATTTATTGGCTGTAAATGGAATATACTGTGGACAAAGTGACGTATAATGCATCACAATTATGTCACATTACTTTATCATCGTCTATTATTGCAATGTAAATAAAGCATTATTACCGTAGTTCTCCGATCATAAGCAAAGGGCCAGAACATGTAAAATCGGGAAAATTATTGGTGGGCTTATATTCGAGGACCACCTCAGAAAAGATCATTTAGGGGGGGGGGTAAAATTGTAACCAACTTTCCATCCACAACAAATTATCCAAATTATACTTTTCGTTCACTGGTCTCCTGGAAATATCACGTCTTTTTGAGGAAAAAAATGCGAAACGATCAAGACGTCATTGATTTCAATGACACCTTATAAAATGAAGAAACAAACATGTTCCCAAAAATACGCACATTTTGTTACATTACGGTTTACATACCGCCTGAATTTACAGTGCAAAAATGGGTAGGTTCTGTGGGAAAACAGTCGAAGGCACGATCTTTATCATTATCTTCGTTGTGGAATGTTAAAAAATCGTACGCAAACTCTCCATACAAAGCAATTACCCCATGATATTTTTCATCATCAATTGACCTGAACAACTTCCCTTGACCTAACAGGTTAAGTCTTTCGTTAACTAATCAAAATGCTGTGTCGTACAGACGAAATTTTAATTTTTTCAACGCATTGCAGAAGTGAATTACCGCGATATGTTTACAATGATTTGGACAAAAAACGGTGATTTTCTTCACCTTAAAGCTGTTGATTCACAATTTCTGAAAGGTAAACCCGGGATGCAGAAAGTATTTAAACCTTTCACGGTCGCAAACAAGTCATATCGATCAATAGCTTTTCTTGTTCACATTTCATTCACGATAGTCTCAATAGACACGATTATTCGGAAAAGTAAAACGATGTTCTATGACCAGGTTTCATGACTTTATTAAAAACTTTGCATGAATAATTGTTGGAAAAACTTACGGCAGTTAACTTCGTCTTCTCCATTGGCACAGTCAGGAATCCCATTACAAACTTCGTATATACTAATACAATCTTCATCACCACATTGGTACATAAAGTCTCTGAAACAATCATTTTCATAACCACCGGGAATGGAAGCTACAATGAAATGGTGCATTTTATAATGTAGTTTAATGTTTAATGGATAATATAGTTTAATGTATCTATTATGATTTACTGATTTTTTTTTATTCACAAGTACCTTGTCTGAATACTGAACTATATCATACATTTCCTTTTGACCTGGCTCAACTTATATATAACCTGATATGACAAATATTGATGTCATCTCTATATTAACTATAGAGTTGACAACGTACCATGTAAATACCATTTTAGATAATAAGTTACAACCAATCATAGTGCGAGAAACATGCTACACCATAGCATACTAGCAACAATACCAAATTTGAATTAAGTTCGATCAATAACATTTGACAAGGAATTGCTGGTAGGTTGTGAATATGCCACTTACATTACTTATTGTAAATTTGTACAGTACATTACTTATTATATTGTAGTTAATAAGACTTATTCACATTAGGAAATGTTCGTTTTGAACTTTTTATAATACGGCATTGTTTCTACATTTCGTTATGTAATACTATGTTTACTGATAATGTTTTTGGATGAAAACCTTTCCAATTTGTTAAGTGTTT